CCCAGCAGGTCTCCCGTTTTGCTTGGGCAGGCGAGGCCGGGGGCAGGAGGCAGGGGGCAGGTGAGGTTCTGGGGTGGCCCTTGTGGCCTTGGGTGTCAGTGGTGGCCTGGGCCGCGTCTCCAGGGTCCGTGGTGGGCCTGTGTGGGCGCGCGGTGCTTGTGTTGGCCGTGGAGGTGTGGGTGCGTGCCGGGAGGGTGGTGGCCAGGGCTCGAGAGCGCTGCGGAGGGGCTGGTGGGTGCCTACGGCCATACCACCCTGAGAACGCCCGATCTCGTCTGATCTCGGAAGCTAAGCAGGGTCGGGCCCGGTTAGTACTTGGATGGGAGACCGCCTGGGAATACCGGGTGCTGTAGGCATCTTTTGGTGCCTTTTGTGCCCAGCAGGTCTCCCGTTTTGCTTGGGCAGGCGAGGCCGGGGGCAGGAGGGAGGGGGCAGGTGAGGTTCTGGGGTGGCCCTTGTGGCCTTGGGTGTCAGTGGTGGCCTGGGCCGCGTCTCCAGGGTCCGTGGTGGGCCTGTGTGGGCGCGCGGTGCTTGTGTTGGCCGTGGAGGTGTGGGTGCGTGCCGGGAGGGTGGTGGCCAGGGCTCGAGAGCGCTGCGGAGGGGCTGGTGGGTGCCTACGGCCATACCACCCTGAGAACGCCCGATCTCGTCTGATCTCGGAAGCTAAGCAGGGTCGGGCCCGGTTAGTACTTGGATGGGAGACCGCCTGGGAATACCGGGTGCTGTAGGCATCTTTTGGTGCCTTTTGTGCCCAGCAGGTCTCCCGTTTTGCTTGGGCAGGCGAGGCCGGGGGCAGGAGGGAGGGGGCAGGTGAGGTTCTGGGGTGGCCCTTGTGGCCTTGGGTGTCAGTGGTGGCCTGGGCCGCGTCTCCAGGGTCCGTGGTGGGCCTGTGTGGGCGCGCGGTGCTTGTGTTGGCCGTGGAGGTGTGGGTGCGTGCCGGGAGGGTGGTGGCCAGGGCTCGAGAGCGCTGCGGAGGGGCTGGTGGGTGCCTACGGCCATACCACCCTGAGAACGCCCGATCTCGTCTGATCTCGGAAGCTAAGCAGGGTCGGGCCCGGTTAGTACTTGGATGGGAGACCGCCTGGGAATACCGGGTGCTGTAGGCATCTTTTGGTGCCTTTTGTGCCCAGCAGGTCTCCCGTTTTGCTTGGGCAGGCGAGGCCGGGGGCAGGAGGGAGGGGTCAGGTGAGGTTCTGGGGTGGTCCTTGTGGCCTTGGGTGTCAGTGGTGGCCTGGGCCGCGTCTCCAGGGTCCGTGGTGGGCCTGTGTGGGCGCGCGGTGCTTGTGTTGGCCGTGGAGGTGTGGGTGCGTGCCGGGAGGGTGGTGGCCAGGGCTCAAGAGCGCTGCGGAGGGGCTGGTGGGTGCCTACGGCCATACCACCCTGAGAACGCCCGATCTCGTCTGATCTCGGAAGCTAAGCAGGGTCGGGCCCGGTTAGTACTTGGATGGGAGACCGCCTGGGAATACCGGGTGCTGTAGGCATCTTTTGGTGCCTTTTGTGCCCAGCAGGTCTCCCGTTTTGCTTGGGCAGGCGAGGCCGGGGGCAGGAGGGAGGGGGCAGGTGAGGTTCTGGGGTGGCCCTTGTGGCCTTGGGTGTCAGTGGTGGCCTGGGCCGCGTCTCCAGGGTCCGTGGTGGGCCTGTGTGGGCGCGCGGTGCTTGTGTTGGCCGTGGAGGTGTGGGTGCGTGCCGGGAGGGTGGTGGCCAGGGCTCGAGAGCGCTGCGGAGGGGCTGGTGGGTGCCTACGGCCATACCACCCTGAGAACGCCCGATCTCGTCTGATCTCGGAAGCTAAGCAGGGTCGGGCCCGGTTAGTACTTGGATGGGAGACCGCCTGGGAATACCGGGTGCTGTAGGCATCTTTTGGTGCCTTTTGTGCCCAGCAGGTCTCCCGTTTTGCTTGGGCAGGCGAGGCCGGGGGCAGGAGGGAGGGGGCAGGTGAGGTTCTGGGGTGGCCCTTGTGGCCTTGGGTGTCAGTGGTGGCCTGGGCCGCGTCTCCAGGGTCCGTGGTGGGCCTGTGTGGGCGCGCGGTGCTTGTGTTGGCCGTGGAGGTGTGGGTGCGTGCCGGGAGGGTGGTGGCCAGGGCTCGAGAGCGCTGCGGAGGGGCTGGTGGGTGCCTACGGCCATACCACCCTGAGAACGCCCGATCTCGTCTGATCTCGGAAGCTAAGCAGGGTCGGGCCCGGTTAGTACTTGGATGGGAGACCGCCTGGGAATACCGGGTGCTGTAGGCATCTTTTGGTGCCTTTTGTGCCCAGCAGGTCTCCCGTTTTGCTTGGGCAGGCGAGGCCGGGGGCAGGAGGGAGGGGGCAGGTGAGGTTCTGGGGTGGCCCTTGTGGCCTTGGGTGTCAGTGGTGGCCTGGGCCGCGTCTCCAGGGTCCGTGGTGGGCCTGTGTGGGCGCGCGGTGCTTGTGTTGGCCGTGGAGGTGTGGGTGCGTGCCGGGAGGGTGGTGGCCAGGGCTCGAGAGCGCTGCGGAGGGGCTGGTGGGTGCCTACGGCCATACCACCCTGAGAACGCCCGATCTCGTCTGATCTCGGAAGCTAAGCAGGGTCGGGCCCGGTTAGTACTTGGATGGGAGACCGCCTGGGAATACCGGGTGCTGTAGGCATCTTTTGGTGCCTTTTGTGCCCAGCAGGTCTCCCGATTTGCTTGGGCAGGCGAGGCCGGGGGCAGGAGGGAGGGGTCAGGTGAGGTTCTGGGGTGGCCCTTGTGGCCTTGGGTGTCAGTGGTGGCCTGGGCCGCGTCTCCAGGGTCCGTGGTGGGCCTGTGTGGGCGCGCGGTGCTTGTGTTGGCCGTGGAGGTGTGGGTGCGTGCCAGGAGGGTGGTGGCCAGGGCTCGAGAGCGCTGCGGAGGGGCTGGTGGGTGCCTACGGCCATACCACCCTGAGAACGCCCGATCTCGTCTGATCTCGGAAGCTAAGCAGGGTCGGGCCCGGTTAGTACTTGGATGGGAGACCGCCTGGGAATACCGGGTGCTGTAGGCATCTTTTGGTGCCTTTTGTGCCCAGCAGGTCTCCCGTTTTGCTTGGGCAGGCGAGGCCGGGGGCAGGAGGGAGGGGTCAGGTGAGGTTCTGGGGTGGCCCTTGTGGCCTTGGGTGTCAGTGGTGGCCTGGGCCGCGTCTCCAGGGTCCGTGGTGGGCCTGTGTGGGCGCGCGGTGCTTGTGTTGGCCGTGGAGGTGTGGGTGCGTGCTGGGAGGGTGGTGGCCAGGGCTCGAGAGCGCTGCGGAGGGGCTGGTGGGTGCCTACGGCCATACCACCCTGAGAACGCCCGATCTCGTCTGATCTCGGAAGCTAAGCAGGGTCGGGCCCGGTTAGTACTTGGATGGGAGACCGCCTGGGAATACCGGGTGCTGTAGGCATCTTTTGGTGCCTTTTGTGCCCAGCAGGTCTCCCGTTTTGCTTGGGCAGGCGAGGCCGGGGGCAGGAGGCAGGGGGCAGGTGAGGTTCTGGGGTGGTCCTTGTGGCCTTGGGTGTCAGTGGTGGCCTGGGCCGCGTCTCCAGGGTCCGTGGTGGGCCTGTGTGGGCGCGCGGTGCTTGTGTTGGCCGTGGAGGTGTGGGTGCGTGCCGGGAGGGTGGTGGCCAGGGCTCGAGAGCGCTGCGGAGGGGCTGGTGGGTGCCTACGGCCATACCACCCTGAGAACGCCCGATCTCGTCTGATCTCGGAAGCTAAGCAGGGTCGGGCCCGGTTAGTACTTGGATGGGAGACCGCCTGGGAATACCGGGTGCTGTAGGCATCTTTTGGTGCCTTTTGTGCCCAGCAGGTCTCCCGTTTTGCTTGGGCAGGCGAGGCCGGGGGCAGGAGGGAGGGGTCAGGTGAGGTTCTGGGGTGGCCCTTGTGGCCTTGGGTGTCAGTGGTGGCCTGGGCCGCGTCTCCAGGGTCCGTGGTGGGCCTGTGTGGGCGCGCGGTGCTTGTGTTGGCCGTGGAGGTGTGGGTGCGTGCCGGGAGGGTGGTGGCCAGGGCTCGAGAGCGCTGCGGAGGGGCTGGTGGGTGCCTACGGCCATACCACCCTGAGAACGCCCGATCTCGTCTGATCTCGGAAGCTAAGCAGGGTCGGGCCCGGTTAGTACTTGGATGGGAGACCGCCTGGGAATACCGGGTGCTGTAGGCATCTTTTGGTGCCTTTTGTGCCCAGCAGGTCTCCCGTTTTGCTTGGGCAGGCGAGGCCGGGGGCAGGAGGGAGGGGTCAGGTGAGGTTCTGGGGTGGCCCTTGTGGCCTTGGGTGTCAGTGGTGGCCTGGGCCGCGTCTCCAGGGTCCGTGGTGGGCCTGTGTGGGCGCGCGGTGATTGTGTTGGCCGTGGAGGTGTGGGTGCGTGCCGGGAGGGTGGTGGCCAGGGCTCGAGAGCGCTGCGGAGGGGCTGGTGGGTGCCTACGGCCATACCACCCTGAGAACGCCCGATCTCGTCTGATCTCGGAAGCTAAGCAGGGTCGGGCCCGGTTAGTACTTGGATGGGAGACCGCCTGGGAATACCGGGTGCTGTAGGCATCTTTTGGTGCCTTTTGTGCCCAGGGGGTCTCCCGTTTTGCTTGGGCAGGCGAGGCCGGGGGCAGGAGGGAGGGGGCAGGTGAGCTTCTGGGGTGGTCCTTGTGGCCTTGGGTGTCAGTGGTGGCCTGGGCCGCGTCCTCAGGGTCCGTGGTCGGCCTGTGTGGGCGCGCGGTGATTGTGTTGGCCGTGGAGGTGTGGGTGCGTGCCAGGAGGGTGGTGGCCAGGGCTCGAGAGCGCTGCGGAGGGGCTGGTGGGTGCCTACGGCCATACCACCCTGAGAACGCCCGATCTCGTCTGATCTCGGAAGCTAAGCAGGGTCGGGCCCGGTTAGTACTTGGATGGGAGACCGCCTGGGAATACCGGGTGCTGTAGGCATCTTTTGGTGCCTTTTGTGCCCAGGAGGTCTCCCGTTTTGCTTGGGCAGGCGAGGCCGGGGGCAGGAGGGAGGGGGCAGGTGAGCTTCTGCGGTGGCCCTTGTGGCCTTGGGTGTCAGTGGTACCCTTGGGTCTTTTCCCTCTCTATAGTGATATTTCATTTATTTGTCTCCACTTCTCTTTTTCTTATCCATTTGCTTAGGTTTGTATCTTTTTCTTCTTTTCCTTTTTTTAAGAAGAAATATTTTTTCCTGAGTCTTTGGTTAATATATTATTTTCAATTCACCTTATTATATTTTTCTGGGATGTTGTTTATGTACATTTTCAGTGCGCTTTTTCTGTGTTCCGTGTCAGTGGATGTGTCCTGCCATTTTCTTCTCTGTGTGGCATTTTGGGTTTTCCTGTTGACAATCAGTGTTTTATTCTGTGACTTCTTTGTGCTGTCATTATGCCTTTCTTCCTCTTGTTTTAAGTGTGTCTCCGAGGCTTCCTTTTCATTGCTTGCCATGTCGATTCTGCTGCTTGGTTTGTGCACTAGGCAAGGAGTCCCTGTGTTTCTGCCAGTGGCCGTGCCATGGTCTGGAATGCCCACTGCAAGATCCCATCCCACGTGCTCTGTAGGACAGCCCCAGGTGTTCATTTTCTTTTCCAATCCCACATCCTTTCCCTCTCTCCAGGCACTAGCTGCCTGACCCATGGCCCCATGTCCCCCTATGGGCCACACCAGAGACATGGTTCCCTTCGCATGCAATCAGCCTGTTGGTGTCACACAGAGTCTTACCTCACCTAGCAGCGCATCAAGCTCCTCCCGGCTCAGCACAGGGTCACTGCCAAGGGCTCCATCCTCTGCCTGTGCATGGAGAGATGTCCTGTCAGCTCCCTTACTGTCCTCAGCCTGGTCACCTTTTGGTCAGGATTGCTACCCATGTTCAATCCCTCATCTGATGTGGGCCCAGCTCATGCTCCCCCAGTACAGCTTCACTAAGTTGCCTCCATATGGTGTCAGCCTGTCCCTCACCCTGCCTGACCCACCTCCACCTTCCTGCTCCCCTTAGGCCCCACTTGTCCTCTCCCACCCCGCTCCTGGCAGTGCTTGTGCTGACCTTGGCTGCTGGAAGCAGGTGGTCTCCAGCTGCTGCAGTGGTGCCCAGACCTCCTGTGTCCAGGGTGCCCGTGCAGGACATGCACAGCTGTAGCCCCCTGGACCATCAGGGGAGACACGGACCATCAGGGGAGAGCCCTCCAGGGAGTAACTAAGGCTGGCATGTGGGGCATGATGGGGAGCTCACCTGGAGTCCCCAGTGGGAGCAGGACAGTGGTGGGGAGTGGGGATCCGGGCACAGCAGCGGCTGCAGACGCTCCCCTCCACTCCACCCTGCTGGGTTTCCCGCACTGCCTCCCCCAGGATCTCGGGGGGTCTCTCCACAGGCAAGTCTGCCTCCAGCAGCTGGCCTGGTTCAGTCACGTTCTCCACACAGGAGCCACATCGCCACGTCCCGCTGGAAGTGGGAGCAGAGCAGTGAGGGAAGGCAGGGGGCACTGGCATCCCTGCGTGCCCTGGGACTCACCTGGGGACGTGGGGCAGTGGGGGCACCAGGCAGGCAAGGTGAAAGGCCCTGGGGCAGCCGTCACAGCAGATGAGCTCACCACCATCGCCGCATGCTGCACACTCATCCTCGTTCTCCTGCCCCCAGGGAAGTGGGCAGGGGGTCACTGCCACCCTCACAGGCTGAAGCCATGGCTGTGGCAAGGTCTTTCACCCCCCCTTGCCCTCTCCCCCTGCATCACCCACCCTGCACCAAACATACCAATCCTTTCAGGGTGGTAAAATTGCCTGTTTCTTGGGGATCATAACGCGGTGAACCCCCAGTAGCTGAACCCTGTGTTTCCTTTTTGTGGCCAAGGCAAATGGACATGCCAGGAGAACCCCAACAGTTCCTCCTGGGGGTGTACCAGGTGTCACATCCAGGGCTCACCTGGTGGGGCACAGGGTCCTGGCTGTAGACAGTGGCTGCTTGCAGCTGGCCCTGGGGGTGCAATTGGGGTTCCCTGTTCTGTTGGTGAGACAAGAAGGGGTTTTGAGAGGCACTGCTTGCACTGGGGGACACCCCCAGGCCATGGCTATGATGCCATGCAGGAACAACCCCCTGCCACAGCCTTGGCAGCTGCACAAGATGGGGTGAAAACATGAGGGGGGTGTCTGTACACTTGGGCATGCCTTGGGCTGGGCAGGGGGCTTTAGGCTGTGGCTTCTGCTCCTGGTCTCTGGCTCCTCACAGGCAGTTGGGGTATATGGCTTGTCAGCTCTGCTGCCCGTCTTGGAGCTGTCTGCAAGAGAAGCCAGAGGCAGCTCCAGCTCCCCTTCCCCACCTCGCTGCGCCTGAGGGTGGCTCATGAATTTGGGGACTAAACTGGGCAGGAGGTGGCTGGGCTGGGCTGGGCTGGGCTCGTCTGTACTTACTTGGGTCCAGCACGTGTTTAATGAGGATGCCCTCGATGGCCCCACGGCTGACGGGCACCTCACCACCTGCCACAGCCACCGCTCTCTGCACCGAGGCAGCCACTGCCTGGAGAGCTGTGGGCAGGGGAGGGGTTCAGTGGGGTGGGTAGCCCCCTGCCCACGGCTGTGGGCAAACAGGGCACACAGGCAGAAACTGCCCTGGGGCTTTCAGCACTCACCGCTGGCACGAGAGGTGCGGGGGGTATCTGTGCCCTCCGGCTTCTTCACAGTCTTTGCCTTCACCAGGGGCCCTACAGCATTGTGAGGATGGGCATCAGGGGGCACACCACAATACCTCGGGGGCAGCACTCTGCCCCATCTCCATCCTGCTCTGGGTCTCCATACCAGGACTGGCACTGTGCCGTGGAGCGGGCTGTGCCGCCCGGGCCTTGTCCCGCTCCTCAGGGGCTTTCCTCTTGCCTTGGGGTCTGTGTGGGGCCGGCGCTGTGGGGCTCGGGGAGAGACGCCTTCCACGGCGCTGCCGCCCCAGCTCCACCTCTGCAAGATTAACAGGGACTGGGAGAGGCACCAGCGCCCCGGCTGTCACCCCTGCCCACTGTCAACCCCCGGGGGTGCCCGTCCCAGCTGACCCCCACTACCTCTGGGGAAGGCGCCGCGGAGAGGCCGGAGCCGGGAGTACCGCTCCAGGTTGTAGTCCTTGAAGAGGACGGCCCAGAAGTCTCGGAGGGCGGCGGTGTCGCGGCCCAGCAGCCAGGTGAGCAGCGCGTGAAAAGCGCGGTGGGAGCCCTCCCGCTCCGCCCGGCTCAGCGTCTCCTGCCGGGCACAGCACGGCCAGGGCTGCCCTCCAGCCCGCCGAGCCCAGCCCCACAGCATGACCGGCCTGTCCTGCTCCGCAGCCTCACCTTGAAGATGTGGTCAGGGACGACATCGTGGTCAGCCAGGCCATGCAGCAGTGGGAAGACATCGTCCACTGCCATGGCGATCTCGGTGCGGTGCAGCTTCAGCAGGCGCCGCAGGTCCCCGTCGCTGCCCGGGCCCGCCATGGCCGGGGACGCTGCCGGAGCCCTCAGCCGCGCGCGCCCTCCCCTTTAATACACCTCGGCCCAGCACCAGAAACCTCGCTGGAGTCCCGCAGCCCCACTCACTTCTGTACGAGGCCGTAACCTGAGCCCGTCCCTCCCGGCGGGCGGCGGCGCTGGGCTTGTCCCCAGCTTGTCCCCACGGCCCAGCCCCGGGCTCGAGGTCCGGCACCTCCCCAGCTCCGGGCGGCAGCAGCCAGCGTGGGCTCGGCTGTGCCGCTGGTGAAGGACACCCAACACGCGGGGACCGCCCGGGGGGACCAGGGAGAGGGGCTCAGTGAGGTCCTGGTGAGGGACCCCCACCTCTCTCATATCTGCCCTCACCCAGGCGTCTCACAAAATTTCTGGACTTTCCGCAGTAGCTGCTTCTCTCATCCAGAAACTCGGCTGCAGGAGCATGTGGGAAGTAAGAGCCCAACAGCTGGGGGTGTGACAGCAACAAGAGAGTCAGGGTGTCCTAGAGTGTGTCCTGCCCCCACACTGCCCACTTCCCTTCCCAGCATCTCTCATAGACAATGTGGTATGTCTCAAGATAGAAACACAGGGTACTGCAGGAGGAACTGTCTGGGTGCTCACATAATGAATGCATTCCACAGACAGAGGAGTCAAGATGTGAGTGATTTAGGGGTATGTTTGCCTGCAAAAGGATATAAAATGCTGCTGGAGACTGGGCCAATTCAGCAAATTGGTCTCCAGCAGGCAGCTTCTGTGGGGCAGCAGGAAGCTCTGACATACAAAGAAACTCCACAAAATGTGTGTTGGGGTACAACTGAGGATGCTGAACAAGCAAATGTCTTGCCAGAGCCATGGCAGTGCCACGAGTGCACCCAGGGGATACCTGGGTAGGTGCAGCCCACAGCTCTGTCAATACCCACTTCCCAAAACTGAGCATATGGAGCTGCAAAAAGCTTGGAGCCAGGGAGAAGCTGGCTCCTTGAAAGCATCTGGCATAGAAAAGTCTGGGGGCCTGGCTGCTCTGTACCAGGTAGCTGGGAAAGAGAAAGCTCAACAGCTCCTACCCCAAATCCCAGACGTTTGGATTTCCCCAGGATCAATTTCTAGCGTCCCTCCCTCTGGAGGTGTGTGTGGGCTGCCCAGCAGGCTCTGCCAGGGAGGCTGTGGCTGTGCAGAGCTGTCCCCAGGCCCTGGAGCTGAGCAGGACCAGAGCACTGTGCAAGAGGGGACGCTGCTGGGCAGCACAAGGGGATACAGGAACTTTCATTGCTATGTCTTAAAAGAATGGAGCAGTATCTGCTGGCTCCAAAACTGTGCCAGGAGGAAGCATCTGCTGTCAAGAAACTCAGGAAGAATAACAAGACAACACCCTTGGTGAGAGGAGGAAATACCCTTGCACGTGTCTGGTTAATAAATTAATGTGGTTGCCCTTGGAAAGGCTCGCCCTGCAGCTCCTTTCAGCATTCAGGGGGATTTTTCCTGTGGAGCCAGTGAGAACCATAGGATGGGGGTAGGGCAGCTGTCATGCTGGGTTCCTGTGCCCCACACCAGGATTTCTGTGCCCAGCTCTGCCACAGTGGGGATGGCTTCACCACCACCTGTGCCATGCATCCCCCCAGGGGAAAAAACGTGGATGTCAGGTGACACAGGAGGTTCATTTCCCCTCCTGGAGCTGTGCCCAAGCCTGGCCACTGGTGCTGAGCACAAGCACAGTTGTGACACAGCCTCACAGGTCTGCTCCTTTCTTCCCAGGATCACTTTTTCCCAGTATCCCACCTGCAGTGCCACAATTTATCACTGTCACCCTGTGTTAAGCTGTCTGGCACAGCTGGTCTAGGACAAGGCTCTGGCACTTCCCCCTGCCCACCCAGCTCCCTCCTGGGGAGGCACTGCCCAACACTCCATGAGCCATATGCCCACAGAGTTCAGCTTGGACTTGTCTTAAATTCCAGCTTTGTGACTCTTTCTATGCTGAGTCACAGATGTTGTTTTCCACATCCAGCCCACTCAGTAGTGCCATGATTTGCATTTTGGGTTGTTTTTTTTGTGTTCCTTCCCCTTTCCGAGAGGGAGGGGAGGCAGAGCAGTGGCCAAGAGAGGCACATCCATGCTGGGAAATCAGGAGGGTGTTTCTGTACAACCTCACTCTGGCCGGCCTGGGCAGCTCTAAGAAATTTGTAAAGGCTGCAAAAAGGCATTTTTTGCCTGGAGCAGGCATGTGCCCTGCCTGGCTGTCAGGGCCCCAGGCTGGGGTGCAGGGCTTTCAGGATGCCCTTTCCTATTGCTCTCTCTGTAGAAGCCAGGACTCCAGGGGTGGATTAAAATGTTCCTCCCCAAATACCCAGTAAAATCAGTGACTCAGCATCCAGCACAAGTATTTGTAGGCCCTGGGATGCACCTTGATTTCCTCCTGCAAAAGCCATTGATGCAAACATGCCCCTTCCTCCTTTCCAATTCCCCTTCCTTGCTGAAGTCCTGTGGTGCAAACCATCTCTGTGTGTCCCTTGGGCACAACTGCCCCTCACTCATCTCAAACGTCCCTGAACCACAGTCAGGAGAGAACAGGCAGCAGTGGAATACTCATGCATGGGATCACACCAGGAAGGCAGGGAGGCCCCACCTTAGTCTCTGATTCCAATCCCACCACGCCTGAGGCACACGGAGTCCTCATGAAACACTGCAACCATGTGCAGAGATTTTATTCCTCTCCCCTTACCTTCAGCTGCTCCAGATTCCAGCATCTTTGAAAAAAAGGGCTCCATGTGGGCCCCTGTGCCAGATTCCCATTTCTTGCAGCTTCCCTACCACCGCCCCACACGGTCTGGACAGGAGCAGCTCCACCTGCATGCATCCCAGCTGCTCCTGCAAGGGCCTGGGAAGGAGAGCTGAAGCAGAAAAGATTTACTTTCGCTTCAGTTTCCTCTTTCCTCCCCCTTTAGAAAGAAGAAACAAAAGCCCAGAGGTATGTTATATTAATTTATTTGGGACACACCAAAAAGGAAAGTCAACAACTGTTAACGTACAAAAGTACAGAATCCTGGGACAAGATTTACTGTCCTGATTAAAAAGGCACCATGGTCCCAAAGAAGAGTAATCAGAATACCAGAATACATGATTTAGAAATTTTACCCCTGTTGCAGCAGAAACAGAGCCAGGCTTTGGCTCTATCCACAGTCAAACCCAGTAAAAAAAACCCAAATATGATTTTAATATGATAAACTCTGCTCAGCCTGTACAGGATGTCGTGAAAAGAATCACAGCCTAGAAGTTGGTCAGATTTTTTTTGTCTTATTTTGAAACAGCGAAGGTGATTAATCACTAAATAGGTAACAAGGAAGACAGCAGAATGCTGACACCTGCCCTTGACTTTCCCTCAGACACGTCAGTTCAACTGAGACCAGCACGCTGAGTGTGGGGCTTCTGAATGAAATGTAATTCCCTGTGGTAGACAGGAAGTCAAATTTGACAACCTTAATTTCCCTGAATCCCTGAAAATCATAAAGCACTATACAGCTGTGTTCCATATCCAAGCCAACCCAAATGGATTTGCTTTACACACAAGCATTTATACTGTCAGCTATATCTGTAATAAAAAGGGGACTTACAGCAGTTATTAAAAAACTTCTACTTTGGCGAGGTCCGAGCTTGGCTATATTCCCTGCTGAAACAGAGCTGCTGGTGTAGAGACCCAGTGAGAGGCTCAATCCAGCACCTCCGGGCTGGAAGGCAAATAGTTTAAACGTGACATAATTTGCATGGGGAGGTCAGTGAAGCATGTCAGAGAGAGGAGATGGAGGGAGGCTGCAAAGCCTCAGGCAGCGGAGGCTCAAGGGTGCTGCTACCAAACCTGTAAAACTACGAGTGGTGCAGAGCACGCGGCGGGCACTAAATACTTTGGAGCGACTTACCATGAAGAGCTTGTCAGAGACACAGAGCAAGGACCCTTGTAAGGAGCATGGTCCCTGAGAAGGGACACACGGCTCACAGCCAGAGAGATCTGTGCCAGGTGGCTGAGGCTGGAGCCTGCCTGGGCAGCCCGGCCGGGGCCGCCGTGTCCCAGGGGACCAGCAGCTGCTCCGTGTTTCATTCCTCCTTTGGCACAGGACTTCAAAGCAGTCCGAGGACTGATTCATCAAAAGTAAATGAACTGTCAAAATTATTCGTACATGCATTTATTGTTAAAGGGAGCAAAAGCCAAAGAATGAAAGAGCACGAGTTAATGTCAGTAAACAATGTGCAGGACGGAGAGGAAAGAAACGGGGAAAAGCTGAGATACTGGAGTGGGGAAACCAACATTCACACTGGAAGGTAAATTTTAAAACCAGGCAAGTTTGCGCTCTTTCTACCACAGATCTTTTGTGGACAAATAGAGACTTGGGAGTTTTCAGTGTGGTCTGGCAAGGTTTGGGCATCTCACCAGAGAGATCTCCAGCACTGGGTTTCACTGGAAGTTCAAGTCTCTCACCTTTAAAAACCAGTAAAGCAACTCTTAACTAAAAAGGTCACAGATAGTCACTGCTCAGGATGTACGTGGGCAAGAGGGTCACGCTTTGTTCAAACAACCTCCGGGTGGAAAACTACCATCTCCCCCCTGCTGGTCTACAGACACCACCTCGGGGGTGGAAGAGCAAGCCCAGATGTCGGTGCCTGCTGCTGTGAACACCACAGCTACACCTGGGAAGGCTTATTCTTCCCTATGTCCTAAAAAGGCAGTATAGCAGTTTATAAAATTACTCTCATCTTAAAACTAAATAATGCAATTTGCATTTTCTCCTATGTTAACCCCCTCCCCCCCAAAGATAAAACATTACCACTTCATTTAGGATTCACACCCCAGATCCTAGATTAGGGACTTCATGATAAAACTCATCCAGTTACGGGAAGGTTTATCCTGATCAAGGAAACGTTGGTAAAATAGAATCTAGAATAAACATTCAGAATCACCAATGCTTTAACAGCCAAAGCACTCCACTCCATTGTCTTCTGCTCTCTGCCTGCTCCTCAAGCAG